CCTGTGTTCAAGTAACCCTCCTTAGCTGCTCGAGTATCTGGAGCACAGGCACATGTTCAGCTTCATTCATTCATTCATTCATTAGTTGCTGAAACAAGGTCTCACTAGCTATCTTAGGCTGGCCTTAAATTCCCTATCCTCCTGCTCAGCCTTCTAAGTGCTAAGATTATAGGCAAGTACCTCTAGCTCTAAAAATATTTTTAATAGCATCTATGGCTAATGACTATCACACTGAAAAGCACAGTTCTAGAAAAATTCATGTATATACACATATCGTGACTGATATTAAAAAAAAAAACACATTATTTCCACTTAAGACCTGGCACTCTGGTACATATTTCCAAGACTTATAAAACCATCATTTTGTGGGTTACAGATTGCATTCTTGACAAGTTAAATGGCATTTTAGATGTCTCCATTCTTCTTGCTTAGGAAATAAGTATTCATTTTTTAGAGTTTCAGTTCTCATGACTTTGATGACATTGCATTATGTTAGTACACCTATTACATCTCCATTTACTTTCTTTTCAAGTGTGAAATCTAATTCTTCCCTCCCATCCCCACCCCTCCTGTTTCTTGTTTTCTGTCTCCCATACAAAAGCCATTTCTTACACTTTCAACTATGACTCATGCTTGCTGTCTGCGAAAGACTACTTATCTGGTCATCTCACTGTACAAGCTAAAGCACATCATTTAAACTGAGACAGCTTCTCCTCCGTGAAGTAACTCGGATGGACAGCACAGCTCCTCCAGGCTTTAGAAAGCTATGAACTCTGGAACAGGTCTAATTAATAAATTTTGTTTGCTTTTCCTCGGGGTGATCCTTCCACCTTTTCAAAATGCCAGAAGACTCACTCTTCTATTCTTAGAGAAAGAATCAGAATCTCTGAACTTTTACTATAATTTTCTTGAATTTATGCTCTAGCCCCAATTTTATTCTAAAGGTCCAGGGTTGTATTGCTTTTGGCTGTACACCACTAACTAGCGGTGCTACCAAACATGACACCAATGAAGGTCTTAGGCAAACAAAAGAAAGCTTAGGTTTCAAATTTGTATGACACAGTGATCAAAAAGACAAACTTTAGCTAGGCGGTAGTGGCGCACGTCTTTAATCCCAGCACTAGAAGGCAAAGGCAGGCATATCTCTGTGAGTTCAAGACCAGCCTGGTCTACTAAGGTAGTTCCAGGACTAGTTCCTTAGCTACTGAGAAACTTTGTCTTGAAAAACCAATAAAAAAAACCAAAGCGACAACAACAACAACAAGAAAACAAAACAAAACAAAAAACCCAAGCTTTAGAATAATATGTATATGACTATTCTTGGGACATGGTCTCACTATCTAGCCCTAAACTTCCTAAATAACTCAGGCTGCCTCAACTCCTTGATCTTCCTGCCTCAGCTTCCTAAAGATTAGGGTTATAAACATAAACTAGCATATCTGGCTAAATATGAATGAGAATCCTAATTCTGTTGCTTTCTGGTTGTGAAGTCCCGATTGACTGAATTTTAACATCTCCTGAGTCTCAATTTTCTAATGTGTGGAATGAAATACAATAAATTATCACTCACAACCCACACAATTGTATGCTTAGCACAATTTCGGATCATGGGAAAGGCTTGCTGCACTGAAAATGTGTAAGTGTGGAAAAGCTAGTCCCAGCCTGGAATGCTACTGGGAAATGGTGGAACCGTTAGGAAGTTGGGTTGCTGGAGTTTTGTCCTTGAGGAAATGCAGGGAGCCCAGCTCCTTCCTGGTTCTGTTTCCAGGCCATCACAAAATCAGCACACCTCTTCTGCTTCAGTAACTTAGTAAAGTGACCAGGGACTAAAACTTCTAAAGTCAGGAGCCAAGTAGCCTTTCCTCCTCCTTTGAAAAAAAGTTTGTTTTAAAAAAAATCATCTTTAATTATATGCAAGGGAAGGGGGAGTATGTGCACTCCAGGGCAGGCACCTCAGGAGGCCAGAGGTTTCGGATCTCCTGGAGCTGGAGTTGCAGGCGTGAACTGCCTGCTGTGGGTGCTGGGAACCAGTCTCCAAGAGCAGTATCATCTCCAGCTCCATTTCCTCCTAAGCCAAGTATCACTGGTATTTTGTCACGGCAACAGACCACAATGATTGGGCTTAGTAAGTGCCAAGCATAGTAACAGTATTACTTTTCTGGTTCTCCAGGATCAACAGCTCGGCTATCTTTATTTATTTATTTTTTGTTTGTTTGTTTTTAAGACTGGGATTCTCTTTGTAGCTCTCGCTGTCCTGGAACTCACAGAGATCCTTCTGCTCCTGCCTCCCGAGTGCTGGGATTAAAGGCATGTGCCATCATGCTCAACAGTATCTACCTTTTTAAACAAATTGTGGGAAGAGAAACTCAAGAAAATTCTAATTATGTCCAGGTATAAATGGTATGGGTAATAATAAGTGATGTTTCATAGGATGTAAATTCTTAGAAAAAAGCAATTCTACCATGGACATTCCATACTTAATCAAAGAACGATCTATGAGCAAACTCTGGTGCAATTTTACATGATTTTAAATCTTCTATTGCATCTACTCTAAGCAAAATAGATTTTAACTACTGTAAGTCTGAATTCAGGCTGCAGAGACAGCTCAGCTGTTAGGTGTGCAGACTGCTCTTGCGGGAGGACCTGAACTGATCCCCAGCATCTACAACAGGTAGCTTGCCCTCCAAGGAAGCTGGCACCCTCTTCTGGTTTTAGAGTTATGTCAAACAGGGCTCCGATTTTAAAGAACACCCTCTTCCTCTGTCCTTGGCTACAGGACTTTGAACACATTATTAAGTATCTCTAAGCTTTGCTTTCACTATCTACAAGAAGAAAAACAATGCCTCATTGCACACAGAAGCTACTTGGTACTGTGAAGAAAACAAAGAGTTAGATAAAAGTCTATCAGTAGTAGGAGTATCTCTGAGTTATTTTTCCTATGAAACTGGATGTAATCATATTTAATTCACATGCTGTGCATATTTAACAAGGCAGTATGTTTAAACATCTAAGGATGAATAACAAATAATGAACACTCAATAAATTATGTCATTGGCATTAAGCTGCCTGTTTAAAACTATTTTTGTTCTAATTATAAGGACTGCCAAAGTTAGAAATGAATCTGGTCTAACAGGTTATAAAATACTTTGTGATCTTTTTAATCTCTTTTTTATACTTTTGACCAGAGAAAATGTCAACCAACAATAACACTTTTCACTTAATATAGTAGCAACATTAACGTATGAGTAATAATATACATAAAAAACCCAGAGCTCAAAAAGGAAAACTCTCCTTGAGATTAAATATTATTTCTCATAAGTATCTGTTTTTCTTTGTCTATAAAACTTTTATTTCTTGATGGCTCAAACTGTTGCTTCCAGAATTACTTAAGAGCAGTTAAGATAAGCTACATAGACTCCTATCGTCACCTTTTTCTTTCCCTCCAGGCTTAGTGTAGCAATACTGAAGTGACTCACCCCAGTATAAAAATCACTCTGCCCATCCGCCTCTCCCGAGCAGAATAAGGACGGCAGGGCTATGAATGACAATCTAGAGGATGCCTACCAACACACACACACCAAGATTCAAGTAACTGTGCACTCTTACCTTAGCAAGTCTGACTGTAGTACCATCGAGATAAAAAAAAATACAAATTATATTCAAAGGACAACTCCCCAAAATAAGCTTTAGTAAGCAGAACAAAAGTTTCTTTGAGGATAACAATTTTTAGTGGAAATTTAACATCTATGTTTTCAAAATTTTTTTTTAGTGTTTAGTGGAGTGTGTGTGTGTCTGTGTGAAGACAACTTTCAGGAGCCAGTTCTCTCCTTCCACTATATAGGTTCTGGGGATCAAACGCCAGCTGTCTGTCAGGCTTGGCAGCAAGAGCCTTTTTACCCACTGAGCCTTTCACCAGCCCAGTTCTATCTGTTTTCCAACATGAGTGATTATATGTAATAATTACCAATCTTTGCTGACTTACAGAAGCTTAAGAAAGTATTAACTCTAAGATTTTAAAACTGACCAGAATGAGGATGACACAATGTATATTGCACATTCACTAGTTGTACAAACACAAAATATTTATACCACTTTGTAAGGTACCTTTCCCCTTACATTTATGTAATACATAAAGACTCAATTCTTAATCTACTCCCCAAGGAAACTATAATTTAAACACAAGAGGAACACATTATAGTGTGCTGAATTGAATACCTCAGTCACCATACATTGTTTCCCACAAGTAAGGAAACTAAATAATACTTAATTCCCACTCTCTTTCCTGTCTTAAACAATATAAGGCGAAGCAATGTTTTTAAAGGGAAAAGCAAATATAGATGAGGTAGACAATATCCTATGAAGTTTTTCTTCTCACGTTTTTTTTTTTTTTTTGGAGAACAGGTCAGAGTAGAAAACGAAATTAATGAGCACCTAAAGATGCGCTATTATTACAAGTATTTTTCGGTAAGTCAACAGATGGAGGCGGAGAATGAAGCTAACAACGTTAGAGTACATACACACACACACACACACACACACACACACACACACACACACACACACGAAAACGCCAGCGCGGACATGGGTCCTTTGACAATGCAGCACCCAGCGTCACCCGTCCTACGATGGAAGATCCTGCTTGCCACAAACAATCCCCAACTCTCAGCAAAGTCAATTTGCAGCCCAAATCCAGAGGGCCTGAAGTCACCGGGGTGGGGCAAAAGTCTACAGGGGGCACTGATAGCGGGATTTCTGAAAGCGACTCAAGAAAAGATCACCATCCTGTCAGTTGCCTGGCTTTGGGGTTGATGCTGCGCGCCGCCGCACCCCAGGCTCCCGGGCTGGCCAGGCCGGGGGGTGGGGGGGGGTTGCACAGTTCCGCCAGCCTCCCCAGTTACCCCGGTCACGGGAGCCTCGAGCCGGTCGCCACAGCCCCCACCCGATGAGCCCCTCCCCACCCCGCCGGTCCCGGGCTGCAGGGATGCCTGCGCCCCGCTCACCGGCCCGGGTGGTGTCCGTCAGGTCATGGTTGGCCGCTCCCCGGGGAAACTCCCTCAGTTTCCGGCCGCTCAGGCTCAGCACCCCGGTGACCGCCGCCTCCTCTAGGGCTCGGTCGACCGAGCGGCTCCACGAGCCCGGGCCAGGACCAGGGCCTAGCCCAGGGCTCGGTCCACAGTTTGCACCGGAGAGGTTTCCCCCGGACGCCACGGGGCCAGAGTACTCCGCAGCCGCTGCCACAGCCACCAAGCCCGCGGCCGCCATTTCCCAGCCGACAACTCTCCGGCCCGGTCTGCGCATGCGCCACCCGAACCGCTGGGTGGGCGGGGAAAGGGGCTCGCGGACCCCGGCCAGCACTCCCGGACCGGACGCGCTGTGCCCCGCCCATACCGAGGTTTTCTAGGGAAACTCAACGGACAGTATAGAACTGCAGCAGCCCTCTACACTGAGCTCCTAGCGGTCTAAAAGGCCACTACAAAACCCATCTTTAACAACCTTCCTCAATACCCCGTCTTCTTCCCTCAGCGGTGGATTACACTGAACAGCAAGGATTTGTTGGTTCTGCTCCTGCCAGAAACTTGTGCAGTTAAGGGTGACTCCATGGGATAAATTGTCTCTCAACTTGTAACCATACCAACAATGATTTAAATTGAGATTTGCAGAAATACTATCAGTTCTTGGGGGGGGGGGGTTGTACTGTGTGCGAAGATCGGCTACAAAGTCCCTAATTCTTGTTAAAATTGTTATGTATTTTAGATTCTACTTTTTACAAAAGGGCTCTTAATGAAAACAAACATCTAAATAGTCTGTTTGTGTAGGTTTTATCAATGACTAGAGCAGAACGAAGGTGTTTAAGTCTAAAATCCGAGTCTGCAACCAAAACTGAGAAAGACAAAATTCTCTGCCTGTAATATAAATGTAGGGATTAAATTTAGAACCGAAAGACCAAAACTGAAACCATTCAGATAACGAAAAACTGAAAATACCACTCAAATTTAAACGAGTTAGACAGCTCTAATACCACACTCTTATTTCCCCAAATCTGTTTTAAACTCAAGCCATTCCTAACATGTGATGTAAATTTCACTTACCATTAACTTTAATTTGCTGTGGAAAATACAAAGGGCTGTCAGATAAAGTCTCTTTCCTAAAGAATTAATCTAACCTTATTGTGGAATCCAAGGAGGCCAGTTACAGAAAGATATGAAGAGGGGAGTATTATCTACCAGAGTTCACAGCAAAGAAAACTCTCACAAGAATGGTTCTGAATCAAATCTCTAGAATTAGGAGGTAGAATGGAATGACAGAGGACGCAAAATTCCATAATGGAATATGAGTAAACACATATCAGGTATGATTTTGATGCATGTAAGAGCATTAAGACACAAAGGAGAAACTCCATTCCAGAACATTTTTTTTTTTTAAAGTGAGTTGTGAGAAGCTAGTCATCATTCAAGGCCCAACTTCAGGGAAACCCAGACAAGTACTTTCCTGAGTTCTTAAATTTAAGAAGCTGTAAAAATGTTTCAATAATAAAGGTGATTAGTAAGGACTGCTCAGAGAACTGCTCTACGAACCTTTTATTTATTTTTTTAAGAGTCCCAGTGTAACTCAGGCTGGCCTTGGCCTTCTGAGTCCCCAGAATACAAAGCAAGTATATGATACTTGATACCAGGCCTGGCTCTTCACAACTAGTCCTTCAACAAATTATTAATGTCTATGAATGAGTCGTTTCACGGTAATGTTTATCCAATATAAGTATTTTCTGGTCTTTCTGAGACTTTGTTAGCCTTAAAGATACTAAGCTAGCCAGGCACGGCAGCACATGCTTGTAACGCAACCTCAACAACCTGAGAGGTTGAGGCAGGAGGATCCAGGGCAGTCTAGCTACAAAGGGATACCTGTCTTGGAAAAAGCACAAGATTAAGCTGGACTGGAAGATGGCTCAGTGGAGGAAAAAGCTCATCACACACCCATGGCGGAAGGGAGAACTAACTATGCTTTGACCTGTGTGTACCCACTCACACATCACACACATAAACTCTATATAATCCTACAGGATTGCCAGATGCACCCTTGTCATGAATATATTCACATGAATACTGACACGCTGTTAGTAATATGGCCCTTTTCCTATGGACATGCCCACTCCACTGCGATCTCAGCATACTATGCTAATCCTGAACTGACCAGATGTGTTGAGACTAGTCTGTTTGACTTGATTTGAAGTCATTAGTAAATTAAACTTGATGCTACACAAATCTCCCATATCCCAGGGAGATATGGGAGGGCTGACCATACAAACAGTTAATAAGCCAGAGAAGTAGCTAGAAGATTATGTATTAACACGTAAGAGAATGTTGAGGGGGAAATTAGGATTTTTCAGAAAGTCTCTAGATATCTGGAGGCCAAAATGTACTAATTAATTAAAAAGTCTGAGAACATGGGGAGAGATGAGATGTTACACATACTATTATTGAAAAATTGTCTTCAAAAAAAGAAAGGAAAGACAGATGGATATGAGGCCCAGGAAGATGGCTCTGTGGGTAGGATTCCTGGCTATACAAGCACGAACACTCGAATTCAAATCTCCAGCATTCAGGTAAGGAAGCCAGGTGTAGTTGCATCCGAATTACAAGCTCAACTCTAAAGAGTGGAAACACATCTCTGTGTTGCTAGCTGCCAGTCTAGCTACAGGTTCAGAAAGAATGTATTTCCAGAGTGATGAAGCAGAACACTTGACATCTTCACCTGACCTCTGAGCACATACAGGCATACATCATACATATATGAAAAAGATATTTTAAAATTACTTGGAAATGGCTAGTACAAAGAAAGGGGGAACAAGAACAGGGAGTTCAAGCCAGTCTGAGAGCCAGTGAGATTCTGCCTCAGTCAAGCAACTAATGAAGAATGAATGAAGGCAGAAAATTTGAGCACAGGCATTTAAATCCTGTATCAGACAGCAGTGAGATGTTATCTCAAAAAATATATAACTACATAAAAGATTTAAGTCATTAAGATAGCTCAGGGACAAAGATGCTTACCACCAAACCCAATGACCTGAATTTGATTCCCCAGAGGCTATGTGTTGGGAGCAAAGAACAGACTCCAGAAGGAAAGCTATCTTCTGACTTGCATGTGCTGATACATGTTCATGTGCAACAAACACATGTGCACATGTGAAAACATACATGCACAATATGTATAATTAAATCTGAATTGCAGTATTGGCTCACTGGTTAGAACTTGCTCTGGTAGAGAATTTGGGTTTGGTTCTAGCTCCCAAATGGTGGCTCACAACTCTAGTTTCAGGGGTCCAATGTCCTCTTCTGACTATGGCAAGCACCAGGCACGCACATAGTACATACATACATATATACATATATATACACACACACACACATACACATACATACACAAACTCGGGAACACACAAATACAGCCTAAAAAAGTTTAAGTTGTTAAAGGGTGTGAGATCATGGGGTCAAGAATAAATTTTTGACATGTGTAAAGACTTGGGGTTTCAACTATGAAATGCAAAATGTATAGAATTCTCTCAATCTTTATTCCCTCATTTTTAAAAAATGTGCACTGGTGTTTTGCCACAGAATTGGAGTTAGAGACAGTTCTGAGCTGCCATGTGGGTGCTGGGAATCAAATCCAAGTCCCTGGAAGAGCAGTCAGTGCTCTTTAACCACTGTACCATCTCTCCAGTCCCAATTTTTTTTTTAACAGTATTTATGTAGCCCAGGCTGGCTTCAAACTCTGATTTTTATTTGATTTTCCTGCCTCAGCTTCCTGAGTGCTAAGATTATAGACATACATTATAAATCCCTGCTCCTCAATCTTCATAAAGTAGGTACTGTACTTTGGGTTATTGATGGAGGAAGGTCATTGGCTAATAAACTTCCTTGGCCCATTTTATAGGTTAGAACATAGGTGGGTGGAGTAAACATAACAGAATGCTGGGAGGAAGAGGAAGTGAGCTCAGACTTGATAGCTCTGCTCTCTGAAGAAGATGCGATGGAGCTCCAACCCAGGATGGACGTAGGCTAGAATCTACCTGGTAAGCACACCTCGGTGCTACACACATTAATAGAAATGGGCCAGGCAATAAGAATACAGTTTGTGTGTTGTTATTTCGGGGCATAAGCTTGCCAGGTGGCTGGGAGCAGGGCGGCAGGAATGCAACCCGCAGCTCCTTCAACAGGTTATAAGAAATGGAATTTGTGGAGAGTTCATAACAACCTTAGTGAAGAATTAAGGAGTTGTAAAAAGGCTGTGATCCAAAGGGAACAGAAATTAACTACTGTATTCAACTACCACTCTAAGAAGCTACCAAAGAGGCAGTGGGAGTTACTCAGGAGTTGCCAGACTCTCCTTCCTGTTTATTTTATAGGCTAAAACTTAACTCATTCAATACTAGAAGCAAATTTCACTCCAAGTTCAATAACTTTGAAAAAGTCATTAGAAATTCATTGTGGGTACTCCAAAAGTTTAAAAACTTGGTGCATCACATCCTCTTTAAACTTAAGAAACTGATTTGGTGAATATTCAAAATGTTTGATCATTTTGTTTTTAGTTATGGTTTTCCTGAAACAGGTTTGGTTCTACCAGGCTTGGAACTCACTATGCAGACTGGAACCTGCAGCAAGCTTACTGCCTCTTCCTCCCAAGTACCGGGAACACAGATGTGTGCCATCACACCTGCCTTTGTTATTCCTTCAATAAGGACCAATTGATTAAAAAAATTACACAACAAAGTTTAATATTATTTTCTTCTCATTAGAGGAAGTGGAAAAGGGAGAGGGGAGGCATTAATGGCCACATACACTAGGTAAATAGCTTCCTATTCATCTTTAGTATAGTAATATATACATTAGTATACCTCATGTGAGTATACTTAGAATTCTACAATTTCCAAGCAAATCTTTATATCTTAGTGGTCTACGGTATCCAAAATTCTTTTCATAAATGCTTGGTATTTACTGAAATATCCATCTTGAAATGTCAAAGGGGCTGAAGAGAAGGTTAAGAGTATGCACTGTTCTTGAAGAGGATACAGGTTCCATTCCCACTATCTACACCAGCTGCTCACAGTCACTTCTAACTCCAGTTCAGGAGTTACACCCTCATCTGGCTTCCATAGGCACCAACACACACAGTGCATAAACATACATGCAAGCACATATACAAATACCATTTTAAAAACCAGTCTTTAAAATGTGACAAAACCGGGTATTGTGGCATATACCTGTAAACTCAGTTCTCTGAAAGCTGAA